CAAGTCTGCCTTCGCAGCTTTTAGGCTTCTTCCTGCATTTTTACATCCTGTTCAATCCTTTCCATGTTATACTTCATGATGTCGGCTACTTTGCGCCTTTTATTACTTCAAAGCTTCCCTAGCCGTGTTTCGTCGATTGCATTGGAGGCTGTTCATCGTTTTCGTCTCTTAATAAGATTTATTGCCTCCTGAGATAGTTTGCCAGTTCCCGTCTAGTGACTCAACCTACAACGTCAATTTCACACTCTTTAAGGTACTTGCAAAAGTATTGTTCATTGGTGGCAAATCTAACGTCGCGTATCCTCATTGTGCTTCGAATCGATTTGAAGCAAAACATTTAATTTTTGTATTTTTTCCTCTCACCGCCAGTTCATTATTCCTTCTTGGGTATCACTTTTTGAGTTTGATTTTAAATGTTGGTGTTTACAAGCTCTCACCATTTTATGGTCCCTGCATCTAATCTTGCCACTAAGTTCTACATTCTACAATGTCTGAGCGTGCACACAGAATGAAGTCAATTTCATTTTTACTTTCGCCATTACGACTTCGTCACGTCCATTTACGATCATCCCGTTTTCTGAAGAAGGTATTCATATTCAGTAATCATTGCTTTCTGTAAACTCTACTAAAACTCCCCTCTGGCATTTCTAAACCAATGCCATATTCTCCAACTGCATGGTCTTCGTACTTTTCTCGCCTTTTTGATATTAAAGCCGCCCACAGAATAGTATACTGTGTCTTTACTTTAATATAGGGCGACTCTACGCTCCATGAAGCGTTTCACCAAATGATTATGACGGCTCGATGTAGCGCATAAGCTTGTACCACCTTCATCTTGTACGCTTTGTTAGACTTAGTTATGATACTTGTCACCCTCTCACTGAAGCTATAACATTCTTCTATATTCCAGCGATATTCTTGTGTATGAAAGCCCCACTCCATTTTTTTTTCTTCAGCTAATTCACGGTAGCCTAGGACGTGTCCATTCTTCAGCATTGTACGTATTGGCCTCGCATGTCCTCCTAACTCTCGCTGAGCTCTATCACTTCCCATTTACCCCCCTCTGATTCCTCGATAAAGCAGCTAAACTAGCCTCACTAGATAGCGTTCTAGTTTTGAAGGTAGACCTGTTCAGATTCCATGGGGCCGGTCCGTAACCAGGGATTTTTAGCACCCTCCGCCACGTCAAAGGTCTGACCGCCGCCTTAGACTGTTGCTTCGCAGCGGCTGGGGACGGAGGGCCAAGGGATAACTGCTGTGTTCATTGGAGGTTGTGGCCAGGTACTGCAGCAGGGTGGCCAATCTTGCTCTGGTGAGGGAGTCCATTACCAGGAAATGGTCACCAGTGAGGCCACACCCCTTACCTCTTTCTCTTTTTTTTTTAACGATTCCTTCCTCACGTATTTTAAGTAGACATAGAATTTCGAATGGTTCGACATCTCTATTAGAGTCAAATTTTGTTATGGCATGCTTGACTGCTGCACCATGTCTAAGTTTGTTGCACTTTATTAGCAATGTAGAAAATCTCCTGACCGCTTATTAGCTCCCAACTTCAGTTGGCTCGTCGCTCACCTAACCTTTGCTTCTAGGTGTCGGTAAATCAAATTTCCCTATTTAAAAAAGACAAAAAAATGGCTGATTGCACGTACAGTAGGAATTGATGAAATGCGAAGCACAAATAAGGAAGGTTGATATGTCACTTGAAGATCGCCACAACGTTACTAGGAGGAGGTAAATTATGCCATAGACGACTTCCATGTCATGATTACCATGTTTGGATGTGTCGTTTACCTTCTTCATCTATTCAAGTCACGTGATGCCAAATTTATTATATGTGAGCCTAGCGAAACGGCCGGGAGCACTCTATAAACGTGATATGTTGTCATGTTCTTACATGACAGGCGTGTAATGATTATCATGTTTGCACCAGTCATATACCCTCGTCATCCATTGACGCCACGTAAGACCAAATTTGGTATATGTGGAGCTAGCGAAACGGCCATGACAGCATCATGAAGAGCCCAATATATTCCAACGTAACGTTGACACGCCTCCACACTGGGCACAGCGATGCTATACGTTAGCAGAACGTGAAAAATCTATAGTCTGACGCCAGGTGTGCCTGGCGCGACTATAGCGTCCGTCAGCGCGGCCCGACGCGAGCGAGATATGCGAAATTCTGCATTTCACGCCCTCTAGGTTACCCAAACAGCACTGCGTCTGCCCCTTTTCGTAGCGGAGGGACGCCGGGCGCGCTGAAACGTGCATCCGTTATAGCAACGCATCGCGATGCGCGCCTGCGAGTATATGGCAGGACCAGTGACTGAAGTCGCAACGCCGGCGTGAGGCAGCGAATTGAATGCCGGCGCGCACGCGCACCGTGTCACGTCGAAGTGTATTGGCGCCTTGACTGTGGCATGTAGTAATGTTGTCACATGACGCGCATCTCATGATTATCATGTTTGCACAAGTCACATACCTTCGTCATCCATTGACGTCACGTAATACCAAGTTTGGCATATGTGAAGCTAGCAAAACGGCCACGATCGAATCATAAGTGTGGCGTGTAGTCATGTTGTTACATAACACGCATGACGTGATTATCATGTTTGGATGTGTCATTTACCTATGTCGTCCATTCAGGTACCATAAGATCAAACTTCATATATGTCACGCCTACGAAATGGCCGCGAGCGCATAATGAGCGTGGCATGTAGTCATGTTGTTACATGACACGCATCTCGTGTTAATCATGTTTGCACCAGTCTCATACCTTCATCATCCATTCACGTCCCGGAATATGAAATTTGGTATAAGTGAAGCTAGCGAAACGGCCGCCAGCGCATCATGAGCGTGGCATGTAGTCATGTTATTACCGACATGCATCTCAGGAATATATGTTAGGGTTTGTTGCTTGTGTTAGCCATGTAATCTTGTCATACCATACAAGCTTTTAATATGCTATGTGAATGAAACCCTGTATGAGGTGTAGGACCATGAAATGTGAATCTGACATTCATGACATACGTCATGACTTTTTAGTTCCGACTAGTCAAATATGTTCTTCATACAGTCACGTTATGCCATACCAAGTTTGGTATTGATACGATTATCTAAACGGCCAGGAGAACTAAAAGTCGCAGGCGTCTAGATAGGTAGATAGATAGTAGATAGACAGATAGATAGATATAGATAGATAGATACGCTCAGGTCGCCGAGTTCGCCAAGAAATGCTTCACATTTAAAGCACCCTGTGCGGTTTTAAACTTGGTGAGCTTGTGAGCTTGTGAGCTTGTGTCGGATTAGTGTCTTGAATGACCCTCCTTCCGCGCCTTTGTTTTCGCCTACCCTCTTCCTGTCATGCTCGATATTGACATTGTCTGTGCGTTTGCGCTGCCTTCGCATCGCCTAAAGCAGTGTGTCGTAAACGCGTTTGTACAGCATTGGAGTCGGTGGCAAGTCAAGTTAAGTCAAGCAGTGTTGCTGAATATGGGGGTAAATCTACGCTTGTTGTTTCAAGCTCTACCATTTTTTGTTTGTTAGAGTGCTAACTTAAGGTACACTGATTCGGCCGTGAACAGACATGGTTTGTTCGAATGCAGTTCAGTTTAACGAGCTTCTCAAATGCAAGAGTATGGGCCGCATCAGTCAACTTACGTTGGCGGTGAATGGCAAAAAAAACCACGCTAGAATATCACACAATGGTGGCATGAATACTTTGACGTAAATTCAAACCTTGCGAGATTCGCAATACAAAGCGAGTACAAGTCATTTTCTATTAAATATAAGTGTTCTGGACATGTGCACCGATATTATTGGCAGCGCTGTGTAGTTCAACCTTGAAGATGTTTTGTCCCCGATTATTCAGCGATTCATATGTTCATATTATGTCTGCTGTATAAAACAATCTTCCAATTTCTTGTAGTTGGCGCAGGATCCGCAGGATGCGTTCTGGCCAACCGTCTCACAGCTGATGGCACGAAAAAAGTGTTGCTTCTGGAAGCTGTGGACTGGAGGGTGCGCTGTACAGGTCCCCATTTTTTTCGCCTCTTTTACAACGAACCAAAATTGACTGGACTACACGAGCGAACCCAGCAGGAAGCCAGCTTCTGTCGATGGCCGGGTGATTCTACATTTACATTTTTTCCTATAAAACGGGCCACAAGAAGATATGTATCTAGATGCACAAGTGTTTCATGCTCTAGTAGTATTACCGATATTTTCTTAGAAGGGCTTCGTGTATGTACTTAGAAAAAAAGAGAAAAAATTACCACCCATGCGCTGCGTAAAATGATTAACCAGTGAAAGCTGAAACGTGCGGCCCCGGTCTATAGAAGTATCAACCAGACGCTGCACTGAAGCCTTTCACTATTATTGGTTACATGTAGGTGCTCCTTAATGAGGTTAGACAAAGTTTGGCTTGGGTTTACCACGGTATTTATATCGCATACCGCAACTTCTGCCTCGCATAATCAGTCATGGAGAAGTGTAATGAGCGGTTAAATGCGTTTCGCAATATGTTATCACAATGGTTGTTCTCGAACCACAGGCAGTCAGAGACGTCGCAGCCGAAGCCACTATGCCGCTGCAGAAATCCCGGCAAAGCAGCATTCTCCCGGCGAATGCGCTCCCGCAGTCATCACGTTGACTCTATCGTGCGCCCGCAATGACGTTTGTCCGGTGTGGCATTGTGGAAGCATTGGACATCTTGACATCAATTGGCGGCGTGTTTTAGCGCATACGCCCGCCATGGACGCTTGCTTCCCGTTCGCAATTTGTGCAGCTCGGAAGGCTGCCTAATCATGGTACCAGTTCTCGCCGGCACGCTGACCCCTAAGCCTGTTTTCATGCCCGTGCTACATGCACCATCGACCCGGTAAATGCGAACTCTATCAGAGTTCCCTCGTCGGTGCTTTTTTAGAGATTCTGTGCGTTTCCACGTAAAAGGTCTTAGGTGAAACTGATGCGTGCGTTCTTGGCGCTCTGGGTGCGATGCGATGATGACGTCACTCTCACAAGCCAATCCCGTGCGTGCTGGGGTACGACACGCAAAACGACGTAGCTGATAGTACAGCCAATAGACCACCCGTGCCACCGATACCGAACAGTCTTTCTTTCCCCTAGCCTAGCCATATACAGCTTTCACTGTTATATCAAGCAATAGCTCGGCTCGGCTATGCCAGGATACACGTAGCGTGACCTAATAAGGTGCGCTAAAATCTGCCTTTCACTCATGGCAGTCATTACTGGTGTCGAGCATTTTATGTGTTTACTACTTTGACACACGACGCATACATCCAAACGGGTTGCTAGCTACGTGCTTCTCGTAGGTCCGATAGCACTGGTGCTTTCGATATGTTTAAACTTATAGTCAGTCAATGAGCCTCCTGGAGACACCGGTTTGCGAGACGTCCCCCCCTTGGCTCCTTGTCTCCGCAGCACGTTGAGCCTTCTTCTGTTCGTCTTTCTTACGGTTAACTGCTAATTTTCAGGCAACTACTTCAGCAACCGTTGAGTTGCTTTTTTCGTAGGTGAGCAGTAATTCACTCTCCTTCCTCCGCCGTGGTGGTCTAGTGGCTAAGGTACTCGGCTGCTGACCCGCAGGTCGCGGGCTCGACTCCCGGCTGCCGCGGCTGCATTCCGATGGAGGCGGAAATGTTGTAGGCCCGTGTTCTCAGATTTGGGTGCACGTTAAAGAACCCCAGGTGGTCAAAATTTCCGGAGCCCTCCACTACGGCGTCTCTCATAATCAAATGATGGTTTTCAAACGTTAAACCCCACAAATCAATCAATCAAATCAATTCACTCTCCTTCGCAGTGGCTACGCCACAATTGCACATACCGCGTTATACGTATGTAGGCCGTGGCAGAGGCGAACATAGATAGCAGTGTAACTCAAGGAGCATCTCCAAGTGCGTCTGCTACGGCTAACACGTCACTCCTTAGGAATACGCAGACCGGTGAGGCAGGCGCAGTCAGTGGTCTTCGCGCATGCAGAACACGGCTTTTGTACGTGAATTCAAAAGAACTTTGGCTCGGTCAGTGTAGCTAACCCTACAAAACGCGAGGCGTTCGCGCAGCCTGTGGCATACACACGATAAAAGTTTGTGATCGTGATCTCGTGATCGCAAGCTATATCTCGTGTTCGCAAGCTTTGAGATGACTCGTGTGGAAATTCGGCAGATGCTACGTAGTATGGGAATAGATTATATGCAGATGTGGTGAAGGTTGTGCAAATTTTGATTAGGTGACACGTGGTGAAATGTCGGTAAATATATTGTGACGCAGGTCATGACGTTAACAAATACAGAAGACGGTATATCAAACACGTTATTTGGCGAATCTTGTGGCCTCTAAAAGGAAACTCGGATTACAATACACACTGGCACTGATCGCGGCGTACAGAGCGTCGGTCGGCCTTCGATCAAATGACAGTGGTCATGCGCGTCATCAATTTTACGTGTGCCGTTGAATATTCCAGTGTTATCGCTAGCTGCCACGTAACTTCCAAAAGAATCTGTAATGTTCATTGTGCACCTAATTGCATCTGAAGGGGCTGAGCTTATTTCGATAGTTTTTAGTCAATACGCATCGTTTCGCAAGGCAGCACTTACACTTGTAATAAGACCACGAAAACTCTCTAGCAATGATTGTTGCATGACCCTGCTCAAAAGGCATCACTCCGACCCTTTTACAGAATAATAAAATACAGTTCTAAATCTAGAAATAATAATAATAATAATAATAATAGTAAATAATAATAATAATATGAACAACAATATTGTCTTGTGTTTATCGTCCTAAATTCACTATATGATTCTGAGAGACGCCGTAGTGGAAGGCTTCAGATATTTCGAGTATCTGTTGTTCGTTAACGTGAACTGACACTTCACAGAATACAAGTCTCTACCACTTCACTCCAGCGGAATGTGATGCCGTGGCCGGGATCACAGCCGAGCACTCCAGCCACTGTTCCACGAAGGCCGACAATACAGCAAAAAGCGTACAAGCAATAAAATCTAATAATAAGCAACAACAAAAACACAATACTTAGGCTCAATAACGCTCAACAAACGCCTTGAGGCGCACGACCTGGGTGACTTCAGGTCGCGCACAGCGCCATTGAGTTTATGATGCCGTCTGGGACAACCTTTTAGTCAAGTGGACCGAGACGTTGGACTACCCTGTACGATGCGAAGTACCGTTGCCGACGCCTGTAACTGAGTCGACGTCGGCCTGCCGGCGTCTACACCCAAACATGGTCACCCGGCTGGTATTCAACAAATCATTGTCGAAGGTTGTAACGACGGCTGGCCGTCGTCTGTTGGTTTTTGATACGGTGGCAGGCGAGTTGCAGGTATTATGCCGCGCGCTCAAGCTAGCCGGTGACGTCGAGGTTTTTGCGTCAGTGGCAATCGACAGCATGGCATCCAGGATCTTTTCCGGGTTTTTTCCGTAGACCAACTTGTATGGCATGGTCTGCGTGGTATTCTACATGCCCATTTATATATGACAGTAACGCGCGAAAGTATAGTGTCGTATGTCTTTTGTTCTACATCGGCGTAGATGGCCAGCATGTCGGCGGTGATTTTATTCAGACTCTCAGTGAGGCTGTTCGTTTGTGGGCGGTACACAATTGTTCAGCTGTGGCTTGTCTGGCTATATCTCAAATTGCGTGAATTAGGTCAGCAGTAAATGTGATAGCTCTGTCGGTGATGAGCACATCTGGGGCACCATGTGAAAAGCCTTCAGACAGGGCTACCTTTGGAGAGGCCTTGTGCTTCGGCATAGTGGGTGAGGTAGCCGGTAGCTATGACGACCCATTTACTTCAGCAATTCGGCGTTTGGAAATGCCTCAGGAGGTCCACCTCAATCTGCTTGAGTGGTGGCCGAGGAGGTTTGACTGACTAGAGGAAGCCTGGAAGTCTTGTAGGTGGTGTCTTTCATCGCTAACGATTCGGCACGTCTTTAAGTAGCGAGCGACGCCGGTTGCAAAGCGTAACCAATGGTACACTTTCTGTTCTCTTGCACAAATGTGGAAATATCGAAAGTGTCCAGCAGTTGGCTAATCGCGTAGAGCCTGGAGGACTTCTGGTGGCATTGCATGAAGGCACGACGATAAGGTAGTCGGCGAGAAGTGGCGAGAAATTCTCCTTCGTGAGAACGCCGTTTCACCAGAAAAACTATGGGTCATCTCCCAGACGGGAACCCGGATTGGATGCGAAGCAGAAGCTGTGCGCACGCGTTGACCCAGTTTAAACAGGCGTCGACGTGGGGACTGGAAGAACGGTTTGAAGCGAAACTTTGTTAGAGGTCACTCGAGTAATCATTTGTTTGCAACCAAGAGACAACGGGGCGGGAGGTGTTGCAGACGCTTCCTCTCGGCGTCCTTGGCTCACGTCTCGACGGTGTTACCCGTGCGCCATCTGTGTTCTCGAATACAATTGGTGTTCTGACTCGCACATTGCCGGTGTCGCTGGTCTTCCAGTGCCGACATTCGCGTTCGGCTTCCATTACTCGCGTCTCACTGGTGTTGACATCATCATTTGCGAACGTGAGCGGCTTCGCTAACCCTCGCAATGCCGGCGACAGCTGGGAAAGGTACGTGCACCCTGGCGGTAAGCGTGCCGCGATGGCGTCCCACCCGTCGGCGCTATCGCGTGGCAAGCAGCAGTGGGCTGTTCTATTGTCGGCGCCGCAAGATTCTCGAGGTGCGCGGAAGCCGGCTCACGGCTTCTCACCGACAGATGGAGAGAGGTGGCGCGGGTGAGATGATACCCACGTAGGGAGTGGGCTCGAGCTTGCAAGCGGTGGAGAGGGTGAAGCGAGAAAGCGTTGCCATGCGGTGAGTGCTTGGTAAGCGGGAGAGAGAGACGTCAGTGCGCTCTTCTATAAGGGTGTCAGCTACTTGGCACCACACCAACACCTGCGGTGAGGCTAGCAATGCGGAAGGAGGAACAGCGTTACACATCGTAGTCAAAGAAATGCTTTGCATCTAAAAATGACGCAAGTTCTTGCTTAAATGCTCTCAGGACAATGGTTGTCTCTCTTTAGAGGTACTCCACAAGGCCTCGGAGTTCATACTTAGTAGGCTCAGTATTGTTCGCGAAGTCTTCGGCATTCTTGTTCATGAATAAGTCATCCTCCTGGTCATGTGGTGGCTGCGGGTGGCTGTGGGACAAGCAGTCGGCGTCAGAGTGTTTTCGGGCGAATTCGTAAACGTTGTGGTGTGGAATTCCTGAAACCTCTCACTCTATTTTGTGGGAGGACCTGAAGTATAATTCAAGTGGCTAGCCAATACAAAGCGTGGTGATTGCTCACACCTTTGGAGCACCTGCCATGGAAGTAGGGACGAAACTTAGACGTAGCCTACATAATTGCAGAGCACACTTTTTGATGTGGTATTGTTACCTTCTGCCTTGCGGGGCGACAAACTGGCATCACTAATAACCCTTTGCAATCCATTCGTCTTCTTCTCAAGGACGGCGCCGAGTCCTGTGCTGCGGCTGTTTGTGTGTACTTCTGTTTCGGAATGTTTGTCGCATTGTGCAAGTAACGAAGGCGCTTTCAGGCATCATTTTAGGTCTGGAAATGGTTCCCTCTGCGGCATTTTCCGCTTGAACTCGACGTCGGTTCGCGTAAGCTCAGCGATGGTTCGGTGATGCGGGCAGAGGTTTTGATGAAATTCATGCACTAGGCACACAGAGAGATAAATCAACATGCGGCTTTGTTAGCGGGTGGCGGGAATTTAGTAATAGCGACTGGCTTCTGCGATTCAAGGCGTCCTCCGGACTAGTTATTCACACTGCCCAAGATCATAAGTTCAGCTTCCACAAAGTGGCACTTAACTGGCATCAGGTTGAGTTGGAGGTATTTATTGCTTGAAGGTCAGCTTAAAGCAGTGGATGTATTCGTCGACTTGGGAGGAAAAGGCAATGATGTTGTTTAATATACAAAGCAAGGCTACCACTTCTAACCATTAGGTAACGTATTCATAAAGCATAGGGAAGTCGTGGGGGCCGAGCAAAAGTGAAAAGGCATAACCTTGAACTCAAACAGGCTGCCAGGTGTAGTGAAGGTAGCCTTTTTCTGTTTTTTGTCGACTTCGATATTCCAGTAGCCTAGCTGTCTTGAGACCCATGGATGAAAACTACTTCGCGTTGTGAAGTGGATCCAGGGTATCGTGTACCCGTGGGAGGGTATACACATCCTTCTTCGAAATTTTGTTGAGGGAATGATAGTCGACACAACAAAGGAGCCTTCCGTTCTTCTTGAAGAGACCACGGAAGGCACATTGAGACTCTAGGACAGTTAGATTATGTCTTCGCGATGAATTTTGTCAACATGTTTTTTAATGGCTTCGAGATATCCCGTTCAACCTTCATGCGGCCTTTGAAGGAAGGGGTTGGGCGCTTCCTTTTGATAAGCTACAATGCTAGGTGACTAAGGTTTCTTGAAATCGCGACGACTACGAGTAGTCCTGAAATTGCAAGATATGGTTTGTGTGCTAGTCTTGCTTGTGCTTTAGGAGGCCTCGGTTAACGGAAGAAACTGTCTTGGAAGGCCGATTCAGTGAAGCAGGTTCGGTAGCATTGGAGAAGGCGAAAGCGTTAATAGAGTCTAGGAATTTGGCGATGTAGGTGACCATCATACTTATGTTCTGATGCCTATAATAATGTGCCTATTAATTTGATGCTCAAAAAGCGCATGTGCCAACAGCTGTCCCCGTGAAAGATCAGTCGTCGGCAGCTCCTAAAAAAGCAGGAAACCTGCCACCCATTTTTTGCCAGCCGGAGGAACATGAAGGGCCACTAGTTAGTGGACGCCACAGTGCTCGAGAGGCGACTGCAAACATTGGGTCAGGAAGCCATGGTCGCAAGCGCTATCTCGACGGGCAATAGTAAAAGAATCTTCTGCTCTGATACGCGCGGCGTACTTACCACCTTTTCCCATAAGGACAACAGCAAAAAACAACTGCTACACTTCATCGAGGGACCATGTTACACGAGCTTCTTGTACAATTAGGTGAGATCAGATTCACAAGATTAGCTGTTACGCTTTTTCATCTAGCATTTATTTAGTCGTTATTGTATTGATTCATGCTTCCTCGGACAAAACGCGGACGTTGGCTATCAATTGTTTTCTGCCGATTACAATTATTTCTCTAGGACAAACAGAAAGGCAAGGTACTTCATTAAGGTCCTGAGGGGCCAGCCAGTAGAGTTCAAGAGATGACCCCTGGCTATATGTTAGCTAATCTGATATTAGAGGCTCAACAACGTTTTTTTCTCAGATTAATAGATTCCCACGTGGCAAAGTATTTGGTGGCTCGAGTTCAATCAACCATGTCATCCTACTCTCGAGGTAACCGCAAGGACTTTGATAATTGGGCGTCTTTGTATGGCGCCGAGGGCTGGTCTTACAAAGACGTGCTTCCAGACTTCATCAAGATTGAAACATCGTACCTAGGGATCGACAATGGTAAGTGACAGACACCAGAAATATTGTGCAGGTGGTAGTACCTATAGTTGCTCTATGAGTTGCATCAGTTAGAATATCTTTTTGGCCCCCTTAGCACCAGAAGCATGACGGTGGCGAGGAGTTCACAGTCAGTGTGCACGATTCAATACTTCATCATACACAAAGCGTGAAAAAGGAAGTTACACAGTAACAATAACAGCTACAGCTAGCACTGATTCACAACACAAAGCATACAAGCTGCTCACAACAAATGTGCAAAAATGCATTACTTTTTGTATATGGCTGCATTAAGATGCGTAAACACAAAAAACTTACAGGCTTTGCCTAAGACGGCTGAAAGGTAATACTCATCCCCTTCTATTTCTTAAAATATCTCTGTTGATGCTCGCCTGCATCAGTACAGAGCTTTTTGTGCCAAGAATGGTTTTTCATTGATTCCAGTAGCAGAGACGAAAATCGGAGGCGCTGCAAGTTTCCCACATATGTGCCAGTTTCGTCCTTCCTTCATGAATGACCCCCTTTCAACGAAGCGACTGTGTCACATGATGACATCTTCATGTGATGTCGCGTTAGGTGACGTCATATTTATGTCAGATCTTGGCGTCATCGCATCATCATAATTTTACACCAATAATGTTGAGGCGCGTGACACCTACGGTGACTTGTTTATTTGTATGGCTGAAGCTCACTGAGAAGTTCCTCACACATTGTTCCCCAAGTTCTCGAGGAACAATTAGCCCCAAGAAGTTGGAGTGGCGCCTGCAGAAGGCAGGCTTAGGTGACGTCATGGCACGGACTCTTCGATGCTCCCCACCGCGCCCCTACAAATTTATGCGTTCGCCTCGTGCGCTCTTCCACTCTTTCTGTCCACTGTCTGCTCGTCTGAACCTGCAGATGAAGGATCAGAAAACAATCAGTAATGTTCCTGTTAAAACAATAAATGTTCCCTTTTGCATCTGCACGATCGCGCGCTCAATTATATGCAATGTTAAAAGGGGGAAAGGTTTGTGTTGCCTGTTAATGCTTAATATGATCGATTACAATCTTGGCACGGCAAGCCTCATCCTACGGAGTGAAAAGCAGAAATACACATCTTCTTGGCGCATAATAGTGATCTTGAGACGCAAGGCACAACATATCATCGTTAGGTTGAGCTGTTCATGTGTGATTCCCATAGAAGACATGAGGGTTCACCCTCGTCTAGGGCTGTTTTTGTTGGAGGCATACACGCATTCGAAGACACTGCTGTAAACTGGTGTGTCGAGGACCCGCGCTGGCTTGCATCATCAAGTTATAGTGACCTAGAAGGCTACGTCACTCTAATCAAGGCTCGCAAAATATATCGTAGGCACTCGCCCTAGAACACCACCGCCACTTTTGTGTCTGTTTTTCTCTGGTACTTGCCACTCAACGCGTTGTTCCGTTTTATGTTTCTCACGAAATAATATTACAGCTTCATTTCACCTGACACTATTGAGGTTAAGCACGGTTGAGGTGTTGCAAAAATTCGACTGCTGTCGATTGATAATCTTCGTGCAGACTTGTAGCAATGGTGCTGTTGCCTTCGTAACTACTAGATTGGATAGCCACCTCATATATTATTGTTCCTTGCGTCTTATCTCCTGTTCATGAACATGACATACGAGACCAGTTGTCGCTTCATCCAGGCGAACATTGTTTAACCGTTACTTTGGGCCACGTCACTGCTGGCCATCGAAAACTTTCATTTCAACTTCCTAGCATTTGTGTTAGAATGGTTGCTATCAGTGGAACGCCGATGTGAAAGGAACATTCTGCTGATGACGTCATGGTATCCTCCCAGCATTTGACGCAATTAAGAGTATACGAACTACACGTCTCCAGCAGCTTTTGAGAGGAAACATGTATATGTGATCTGAGTAAATGGACATATCCAAAACCTCTATAATCGTTGTTGTGTGGCGGAACATTTCGTCTATTTTCTGAATATGTCAAGTTTGGGCTTATGACAGTCAGATTCACGTGAAGTGTGCCATTAGAAAAATCTCAGTTCTTTCAAATCATTTAGATTATTCACAGATGCAGGCGCAACTTTCAAGGTAAAGCACAATGTATTTAGAGAATTAGAACCGTCCTAATTCTTTTGTGATATTTTGGCACACATATTTTCTGTCCTGAGTCCAGGCCTTGATACAAACACGTTTGCACTACTCAGCATAATTTTCTAAAGCACTCATTTCTAAGCAAAAAAGGAAACAGTTTCGCAATAAATCTGTCGTTCGTATGGGAAGCTGCCTGTCCTAAGCTAAATTATGCAAGCATTTTAAAGCCTCAGTAAGCTTATTTTTTTATGAAACCTTCCAATTTGTGTCTTGAGAAATTCGCGTCACACAATTGAGGAGTAATCACTGACGTATTGCTACAGAGTGGGAAGGTGGCGGGTGCAGAAAAAAAATACGAGTGGCGGTGGAGAAGGCGAGTCCATGCCGGGTAGTCCCCTCGCCTTGATTGTAGGGACACCAGTGTTCGTTTTCCAGTGCTAATAGGTGCATTTAAACATGGGTATCACACTGCAGGGCAAAGGCCTCTCCCATGATCAGGGTTGCCATTGGTACCTACTTACTTTTTGCCAAATGGCAAGTTTTCGAGGCCCATCGAGACCTAAAATTGCGGATGGTGACGTGGCGAATTCCCGGCTAATTCTGGCTTAAGTCTCGACTTAATTATGCACTTTATAATCACTGCCTTCAAAACGAACAGGTGACAATGTTTTCTGTATTTTTCGTAGGTTTAGACCCACCAGTAAAAGACGCAACTTACGTAGAATTCAGAGCGTTCGTACACTGAGAGATTCTGGAGCAACAAGTGCACTGATGCGTCTGCCAGCTACCTTCCTGCAAACTTTAGGCCAGTGGACTGCTTCATGCGCCGCGATTGATTGATTGATTGATTGATATGTGAGGTGTAACGTTTCAAAACCACCATATGATTATGAGAGACATTGTAGTGGAGGGCTCTGAAATTTCAAACACCAGCAATTTTTTAACCTGTACCTAAATCTGACCAGATGTGTCCACAATATTTTCGCCACCATCTAAAATGCAACAGTCGCAGCTGGGATTTGATTCTGCGACCTGCGGGTCTGCAGCCGAGTACGTTAGCTACTACAACACCACGGCATAGCTTCATGTGCCCCCAGACGGTGACAATATACTGAGTGCTTTAAGTGATTTAGATCCTTAATTTATTGTCTCGCTTCTGAAATGGCTCGAGCACGGTTAGGTTGCATGCATTCAACATAGCTCCAACTGTCCTGAATAGCTTGTTGGCTTCTTCACCTAGGCTTTATAATTGTTATTATTATACGTCATTGACCGGCAAAACTGTTGGCTTTTTTAGGCAGCCATCAGAAGCTGCACTAAGGCTGTTTGTGTAGGTAATATCTGATGTGTAAAAATCACTACACAGAAAGCGTAGTGTAGCCATTGCGGCAGGTATGCAGTACTTGTTGATTAATTTTCTCTTTCTTTGTAATTAGGTTGTTCAAATATTCGACACGTGATTCCACCGCAATGAAGTTTTCTAAAGCTGCAGAAACACTAAGCACACTGTTTTCTCTTGTTGTAGCGACTGTTTCCAATTTGTTGCTATTGTGTTGGTCGCTCTGTTTTTGTGGCAAAGGGAATAGTATTTTATTTTAATGAATTTTTTTATTTTTTGATCACGTGAAAATGCTCCGTTTTTAGTCACGGAAAGATGATGATTTTTCGCTCGCAACAAAAAACTTTGACGCCAACAGGAAAATTTCTGCGAAATGAGCTCTATAACAGTACTGCGTTATTAAGCACTACATGACTATTTCCACACTTACTGCTCATGCCCTACTTAGCAACTAGTTTGTCTCTATAGTTGACCATAAGGGCGTTGTTCTCAGAAAACCACGCCTTAATTTATTCACAGTGGTTGAATATAATTTCTAGGTGCGCACCTCGGCGCAACCGTTTGCTAACCGTGCTTGAGAGTGCAGGGTATCACCCACCGTGCCACATCACCATGAGGTTCCCTTAAAAGTAAATATGAAAGCTGTAATTGGCTAGACAATTTAGCGTGTGCCACAGAATTTGGGCAAAGATTACTATACCTTATTCTTCTATTGAAACGAAAATTGCACAACGCGGCCCAGCTAATAATACTTTCCTCGATATACACTATAGGGAGCTGTGACGCTTGTGTCTATAGGAGCTGCAACGCACGGCGCTTCAGTGAAAGTGGGAATGAAGGGTAGTAAACAGATTTGCCTCTTTTTCATGCTTTTGGCTCCGTTTGCGTTCGTTTGGCTTGGAGCTATTTTCACATAAATCAAAATCTGCAACTGTTCAGAAGTTGCGCTTCATCTTCCTATTCTTTTAGACTTACCATTTCAAATCGGGTAATGAAGTGTAAAAAGGTTCGTTCTTAACTTCGCAACAAAACCGAACCACATCAATAAAGGAAGCCACAAGAGCGATTCGCCACCCGCAAGTAGGACGTCTAGACAAATGCGTGTACGAACCACTATTTCTATGATCGCTTATAAGTAGATGGATGAATGTAGCCGACTGTACCCTTAGAGATCAGTCAGCGGCTAACACCACCTAGGCACAAAGTCAAGCACTATCGCTAAGTGTTGAAGGATTGAATTTCACTCGCTCCTCAATTCTATACATTATTCAGTTAGCCTCCTCCTGGCTATTTCTACCAGTTTAAAGTGTACTTGTCTTCACTGTCCCTAAACCCCAATCATTTGAAGAATTCTGCGTCATTATCTTAGACTTTAGGGAGGAGCCCTTTACAGAACATTATCAAATGTTCAGCCATGTCCTCCTCCTCTCCACACGTACTGCATAACGTGCACGTGCCTTCGTATTTGGCTTGGTACGTCTTCGTTTGCAATACTCCCGTTCTGGCTTGGAACAGCACAGAACTACTCCGAGCATTATTGTACATCTTTTCTTTTGAAATTTCCTGCTTGAAAGAACGAT